CCACCTGCACCATGTTCCTCTCTGCTTCTTCCACCTGCACCTTTGATATTAAATTATCTGTATTTCCCGGGAATACCCGTATTGCCCCTGCCTTGCAGTCGTAGCAGACCCAAATCTGTAACGCCGAAACGACCAGAATCACCACAAGGGAAGAATGCAGAAGCCTCCAGCCGCCGGCGAACGACATTGCCGGAATATGTGTGTGTGTGTGTATATATATCCAGCTACATAAATCACCAAAGCCCTCTCTTCCTCTCCCCTTTCTCTCTCTCTCTCTCTCTCTCTCTCTCTCTCTCTCTCTCTCTCTCTCTCACTGTATGTCTGTCTGTCTCTCTCTCTCACTGTATGTCTGCCTGTCTCTCGAGGCTATGACTTATGAGCATCGGATTGACGGCTATTATATGTATAATGGGATAAATTTTTAGTTGTAACGGGAATACAAGTGATACACTACATGTTTTAATAGAAATGATAAAAAAAATTATTTTTTAAATTATTAATTTTTTAGCGCACATATCCCACTATTTATTTAGTGACGCGTGATTTACTATTCTGTGTACCGATCAAACTGAAAAATCTCTCATATAATGGAGCCTAGTATTCCCCCACAATGGTCGACGTGAAGAGAAAATAACAGCAGTCGATGTCTCTGCTCTCTGTATTTTATTTTTTAACTCTGGTTTTTCTTTTCTTCTTTTAAAATAAAATAGATTTCAACGGTCCACTATTAATCAATATCAGTATCATATTTCTTTAACTTAATTACTTACACCATTAACATGTGTACACTTTCGTTACAAAATGTTATACGAATGTAGTATTTTAGTTTGTTGGGTTCTCCTTTTGAACTATCTAGTGATTAACTACTAATCAGCACACACATTGTTCTCAATTTAGTGACATGGGGATTAAGTCCAATAGATGTGAGATTCTATTAAACGTTTCATTCTATTAGTAGTAAAATTACTAGATATATATTGTATTTTATTTTGCCAAGTTTTGATGAAAAATTCTCACAATACAATATTATTCGACAACAAAAATTCATTATCATTGGTTTCTTAACTCATCAAAACATGCAACTATAATCATTTTCATCAACTTCGTCAAAATGAGTCGTGTTTTCTTAACTCATTAAAACGTGCAACTATGGTCATTTTCATCAACTTCGTCAAAATGAGTCATGTTGGAATGACCATTGCTATAATTGGATTAAAGTTGAGGAACAATTGTTACAATTTTTCTCATTTGGTATTTCATATTTAGCTCTTGATTCAGCCTCACGTGCGTGGCACGTGATTGATTTGGACTGAAGTTTTAAAGTAGTTGACGTAAAGGATCATAACTGCATGTTTTGATGAGCTAAGAGATCAATAATTACAAATTTTTAATTAAAATACTATTACTCCCTCTAAGTTAAAGTCATGGAACGATGGGTTTTTTTTTCTCACTAATTTGGCAATCGTTGTTGGGAATCACTGTTACACTGCTCCTGCAGTTGCTGCAAATATCGGTGCAACTACGATTACCGATGCATTACGTTAGAAATCAGCATGTCGGTGACGCAGTAAGAGAAAATTAAAAGTGGAAACAAAGGCCGCACGCGCTTTGAAGAGGGTCGCTGTTATTATACAAACAAATCTTATGGTGGGATGGCTGGCCAAGAACCACACTCGAGCATGGGAGCCAGAGGCAAATTTTGAGAATTCAAGTTATTTAACCACGCGGGGAGGTGAACGGTGAATTACACTCTCCAATTACGCGTACTGTAAATGGTAAATAGTAAAGAGATGGAGTTTCGATTTATAAAAGAAAGAAATGCATGTGATTGCGGAGGAGGAGGAGGAGAACGGCCGGGAATCCCGCGGCGGTGTTGGCGACCAATATTTGGGTGTAGTAGGTTAAAAGTCTTAAGAGTCAAGAGTCGTACGTAAACATGGAAACGTGTATGTAAAAGTAATAGTTATCTCTCGTACTTTCGACCTAATTAATTGTTAATTACTATTCTAAATGGAGTATGATTCTGTCTTCTCATATTTTCATCATCTTATGTCCCCTCATCTCACATATTGTTTTTTGTCTTATTGTCTTTATAAACAAATCAATATAAGATGTTGACGTGGTTAAAACGTAACCATTCAAATATGAGGGAAGTGAAGGGGAGAGATATTAGGAGGGAAGAGAATCCTCTTCCATTAATTAATAGAATTAGGTGTCAGCTTTGATGCAATCTTGTGTGCTCCTTGAAGACACAATTGTCCTCATAAATCACTTGGGACATGTGGTTGATAATGTGACAATGTTTTAGTTGTGTGGCATTATCTTATATCTGTATTTGGGATGGGTAATTTACTATTTTTTTCGTTGCTGTATTTGGGCAGATTTTTGGGTACGATGTTTTATATTTATGTTGTCACGATTCAAAGTTGTCATTAGTTGACGGATAACGCTTTACCGCAGTGACCAAGAACAATAATGTCTATGCAATTTGGTCCAAGTGGGAGAGGCTGAATGAGAGAGAGACAAGTCGAAGGGGAGAGATTGAGTGAGTGAGAGAGAGAGACGTTGAGATAAAATCAAGGATATAAATTGAATATCAAATCATTTGGACGGTGAAAACAGTTCATACCCGCCCCGCCCCACGGGTCCAAGACTTGTTTGACCACCGGTATTTCGAACCACGTTGTTGATTAAGACATTCTCATATATGTATGTGATTTTCCAACTTTCATTTGTGTGAAAGTTGTCATAATTATGTTAATCAAGTAAAGAAGTGGACCTGAAACCTACTCAAATAAATGGCCAGCTTGCATGTCATTAATCATTTCTAAACAATAGCAATTTTATGATGCATGCCGACCACAATATTAGATCCGTTATCTTGGATTCTATGATTTTAAGAAAATTATGGTCATACACTGTTTGGTCTTAATTCAATAGTATGTGATCATTTAACTTTTATTGTTGCACTTTCTCTTCAATCGTTGCATTAAGATCGAATGATGAGAGAACACAGTTTTATTTGAGAATAAGATCTAGGAGAATGTAACTCGTATTAGATTACGACATTATGAACTCATCAATTAGCGATGATAAAGCATGCAAAAAGTCTGGCATTCAAGAAAAATGAAAACAAGGAACAAAATTAAAAGAATTTGTGATTATCATATCGGATTTTCTCAAAAGAAAATTCCAGCTCTTGGTATACAAATCCATCGTGTTCTTTTTACCTAGAAATAAAAAGGGAATTGTTATTAACACTTCAAAAATCTCATTTGGCATTCCAAACTTTTTATAATTATAAAGAAAAATATATTTATAAGAAGTATACTAATAAAGCGGAGAAAAGAAAGATAAAATGTGGAAATCAATGTTCTAGGTGTATCGATGGGAAAGGTACGACTGGCATTCAGGAATGGTCACTTCCATGCATGTTAGAAAGACTTGACTCTTGAGGAGGTAGCGATGGCATTTAAACGTTTGGATGGGACTTGGTACGGTTAAAACTTAAAACTGAATTATTATTACTTTAGGTGAATTCAATCACACAGTACGGTTAAAACCGAACGTTTGACCCTCTATCTTTCGATGCAGGACAAACACTGAAACATGATAAAAAAAATTCTGCACTGTAGTCCAAAGTTGAAGTGCACGAGAGAAACACGCTTTTATCGTGGAAAGTTTAGAATTTGTTTGGAAGTGTTTTTAAAATGATTAAAAGTGTTTTTGTAAAAAATATTTTTTGAAATCAATTTTTAGTAAAAATTCAAATGGATTATGGAAAAACACTTTAAGTGATTCTTGCAATAAGCATCGAAAAACACTTAAAGTATTTTTGAAATCCATAATCAATTACATCAAAAATATTTTCAATCATTTTAAAAACAATTCGGAACAAACCCTAAATTCTGGAGGTGGAAAACTGTTTTGTTTTGTGGCTGAAAGGAGAGACAAGGAGGTAACTCGTAGTCTTATGAAAGGAAAAGCCTATCTGATCTGATCTCATCGTCCCTCTCCCTGTCCCCGTCCCCCACCGGGCCACCCCCACCCCCACCTCGCCACCCTTTCATCTGCATGCAATAAAGTTGACAAGTTTGAGCGTGTGGTTTGGACTTTTGCCAATCCTCTGCTATTCATTTTTGCCGTTTTCTTATCCCCTCTTTTATTGTATTTGCCATTTTCTTCTTGGCCTCAACCCGCAACCACCTACTACTATTTATTTCCCCTATTTCCTCTCTCTCTAACACAAACATTCAAATTCCACTTGGCTCAAATGGATTGCATGCATGAGGATGGACGTTTTGGGCATATGTGTGTGCAAGTGTGTGTGTGTAATTGCAAGGATAAACAATGACAACTCATACACATGCAAAGAAGCCACTTGCAAAGTGAAAAGACTCTAAGTACAAAGTATGCAAGAAGATGCATTTTTGGAGGCCTTTTGGAGCATGTTTCGGGCTTGGAATGGATAGCAAATGCATGGGCCAAGTGGTATGGACGAATTTGAGAAACTAAAGAGGCCAAGAATATGAAGAATTATGGTCCAAAAGATGAAGAAAACAGCCCAAAAATCTGTCACCCCCAACTTGCATTCCTTGCCATGCAAACCACATAGAATTCCCTTTGGATTCCATGCCATGCTTGATCACTCTTGTCCCCTACATAATTTCTGATTTCATGCTTTAATTCATTTAATTATTTCACTCAATTGCTTGATACCTCTTGTTCCCTTCACCCATTAGATTTTAGACAACCTTTACATTCCATTACATGCACCAATTGATGCTCCATCATTCACATTTGGAATCCAATGCCATGTGCAACACATGTTGTTGCACCTTTGACCCATTTGTTGACACATTTCACCTCCCTTTCCATCTCTATGCAATGTACACAATCATTCATGCTCCCTAGCTACAACACCACTCCATTTTACCCTTCACACTTTGCATCATTACTTCATTTTCACCCTTGGACCATTGCACACCACACACACAAATTGCCATGCATTTCATCCTTAACCTAACCTTATTTTCTAAGGTTTTTTGGGGCCTATAAATACATGTTTACAACCCCTTGGCCAAAGAACAATCCCCCATATTCA